ATGCCTACACATTTACCTAACACATATTTAAAAAAAAAAATTATTTTAATGTTCATAACTAAACCTGAACATAAAAAAATGCTGGCCTTATAATGAAGAAAGGGGCCTCTTTCAAAATAGATAATTTCAGGGCCGCTGGGTCAGGGGTACCAGGGGGTTACTATGACTAAAAATAAATTAATGCTTTGAAATCTGTCCTTTGATAAGCAATGGTGCTTCCTTCAAAATTTGTGAATTTTATGGCTTTTGGATTAAAACATGAACCAAATGCAATTGCTGGAAAGTTGTTACATGATACTCAGGTGACCTATAAGGCCCATGGGCCTCTTGTAATGTTTAATGATCATGTATACTTGTTAGAAAATAAAAAATGAGACAAAATAATTACTTTATAAATTGTTCAAAGATTTAGAGAGGTCAATATGGGGGTGGAAAAAGCATTAAAACACTAAAATATATTTTAATAGTCTGCATGGGAATAGTGATAGTAATAGATTAGTGCTTGTTGAATACTATTTATTTCATTGATCTTGATCATCTTATTTCTCTAGTTTTTGAACATCAAAGCTTCATCTATCAGTTTATTTAATATTATATTCTGTGGATCCTCTAAATTGTAGTATCATACTTCGGTGACCATTAAGTTCAACTTTAGTATTCTTATATACCACAGATTTTTCACCTTTCAGTAAAAATGAGGATATATCTTAGTTCGTGGCAATTCAAGATGTTAATTTTATGTTAATTAACCCCGCATAAAATTCATAGATTTGTTAATTTGCGGATAAAGGAAATTTCTAAATACAGTTTCATAATACACATATATTATTCTGAGATGTTCTTGCAACATGAAATTTATGACTTTATTCTGAAAATTTAAAAGTACAAAATCTTCATTTTTATGCTTTTTTTTTTAAAACTTAATAAGTGACGATATTATGCATTCATGATAAACAGCTTTTTAGAAGGATATGGAGAAAAGTTTGGTCAGAACTTCCAACATCATTCTTATTAATTCAATTTTGATAACATATTTGGATTTTACAATATTTTATTTAAAAACTTCAAATTCTCAGAGTACCATAAGAAATAAGATGTCTAGGGGTCTATTTATTATGGTGGAAGGATATTAAGTATAAAATTAATCAAATCTACATTTTCAGGTCACCTGAGTCACTCAGGTGACCTATTGCTATCCGTTTTCGTCTGTCGTCGTCCGTCGTGTGTTAATATTTGAACATTTTTAGCTTCTTCTCTGAAACCACTGAGACAATTTCAACCAAATTTAAATTTGGTATACAGCATCAATGGGTGAAGGGGAACTTCAATTGTGAATCATATGGCCCCACCCCCCCTGGGGCCTGAGGGGTGTGGCCAAAACCACTAAAATTATTGCTCTCTTTAAAAGTCTTCTTCTTTAGTCCTGGACATCTAGTAGGCAAACTGCTGGCATGAATGAAATGAACGTTGAGTGCTCTACCAAATTCTCAAATGCCCCCAGGGACAGGGGTTCTGGTGTTAGGGTGGGGCTCTATTGATTATATATAGTGAAAATGCAATTATTATTTGAAAATCTTCTTCTCTGCTTCTGGGTATTAAATAAAGTAACTAAGCACATAGTTATGATAAGCAAGAGTGTCTCTTCCAAAATTGTGAATTTTATGGCCCCAGGATCAGGGGTTTTGGTGTTATGGTGGGGCTCTATTGATGATATAGTGAAAATGCATTAATTCTTTGAAAATCTTTTCCGGTGCTCCTGGGTTTTATGCCAATGATCCAAGTAAATATATTAATATTATGATGAAAGGTGCATCTAGCAAAATGGTTCTTTTGTATGCCCCCTTGGCATTTTGAAATGTGTGGCCCCAGGGTCAGTGGTTCTTTTGTGGTGACATGCAAAACTGGTTATAAAATGGAAGTACATATTCTCTTTGTTACTTTGATCTACCTCTGGGTATTAAGTAAATAGAGTAAGCATGCTAAGTGTATAATTATGAAAAAGCAATGGTGCCTCTTTCAGAATTGTGACTTTCATGGCCTCTAGTTTAAAACACGAACTGAAGTTGATTGTATGAATACTCAGGTGACCTATAGAGCCCATGGGCCTCTTGTTGTTTAATTTTGTTTAAGCCCTTTTTATTAGAGTATTATTTTATTTTATGCTAGAAATGTTAAATATTGGTTTTAATTGATATTTTGGAATAAATGTTATACCATCAATCAAAACATTCAGATAAATTGAAGAAATGAAGATAAAATTTGCATTAAAATCAGAAATTCAGATCAATATCTTAATGTGTAAAACATGGGCTCCAACTTTTCCTTGTCATTTTTTAGCATTATGATATTTTCTACAGATTAGCACATAAGCCATAAAAAGCTTGATACAAGAAAATATTGTCTGTTGATAGATTTTAAATACCTCAAATATTGTTATGTGAATTAATTTGCAAGATTTTTTGCCTCGCTCGAGCCGAGGGCTCAAGTGAGATTTTATGATAAAAATAGTCGTCGTTGTTGTCATTATAAATTTTTCACAGATCCATCTTCTTCTCAGTAACCACTTGGCCAAATTAAACTGAATTTACCACATTTATTCTTTGGTAAAGGGGATTAATGTTTGTTCTAATGAAGGGACATGCCTTTTCTTCTAAGGGGACATAATTGCCAATTTGAAAAAAAAGACATCTTTTAAATATCTTCCTTTTAAGAACTACTGTGCTAGAAAATATGAAACTTGCGTGGAAACATCCTCAGATAGATTAATTTTTAGCTCACCTGAGCCGAACTGATCACATATTGGCCCCGCCCTACCCCCGGGGGGTCATTTAACAAACTTGAATCTAAACTACCTGAGGATGTTCCCCCTTAAGTTTCATCTTTCCTGGCACAGTGGTTCTGGAGAAGAAGATATTTCAAACATGCCACCAAATTTTTTTTAATTCCCAATTATCTCCCCATGAATGAGGGTGTGGTCTTTCATTTGAACAAACCTGAATCCCCTCTACCAAAGGATGCTTTGTGGCAAGTTTGTTTGAAATTGGCCCAGTGATTCTTAAGAATAAGTCGAAAATGGGAAAAGTTCACAGACAGACAGACAGATGAACAAACAGACAGCTAGCCATTGTGACCCTGCCCTACCCCCGGGGGTCATGATTTGAACAAACTTGAATCTACACAACCTGAGGATGCTTCCATATGAATAAGATCAATTATAGCTTTGCAATTCTTGAGAAAATTTTTTAAAAGTGTTCCTATTTATTTCTATGTAAAATTTTGGTCGGCTATTTTTAGGCCCCTCCCTAACCCCGGGGGTCATAATTTGAATAAACTTGAATCTACAATATGATGAATTACCGCTTTGTCATTCATGAGATTTTTAAAGAATTTTCCTATATATTTCTATGTAAAACTTTGGTCGGCCATATTAGCCCCCACCTACCCCCAGGGGGTCATTTAACAAACTTGAATCTAAACTACCCGAGGATGTTTTCCCATAAGTTTCATCTTTCCTGGCACAGCGGTTCTGGAGAAGAAGATATTCTAAATATGCCACCAAATTTTTATTAATTCCCAATTATCTCCCCATAAATGAGGATGTGGTCTTTCATTTGAACAAACCTGAATCCCCTCTACCAAAGGATGCTTTGTGGCAAGTTTGTTTGAAATTGGCCCAGTGGTTCTTAAAAATAAGTCGAAAATGGGAAAAGTTCACAGACAGACAGACGGACAAACAGACAGCTAGCAAACATAGAAATAATTATTTATTAAGAAAATTCTTTAGAAATCATCTTCTCAAGAAAGCAAATCTATGATTGGTCATGGGACTACTTTTTGATTTAAACTTTTCAATAATAGCCAATGTACTTTTTCCCTACCCTCAGTGCTCAGGTGGGCCTCTTGTTTTTTCAAGTCATGACACATGGGGTTAAGGTAGGGCCTTAGTGGGCGATAAACATTTTTATATAGGAATATATCGGGAAAATCTTTTCTCAATAACAACATGATTGGCCATATTTACATAGAAATATTCTGAGGTAGATTCCATTTGTACAAATTATGAACCCGGGGGGTAGGATGAGGCCACAATATTCATGCGATCAAATTTTAGAAGACGGATGTGGAGATAAGCAATATTCAATCTCAAAGTCCATAAAACAATGCAAAATAGGAGCAGAGCAAACGCTGACTACCGAAACATCAGAGGTGGGATCAGGTACCATGGAGGAGTGAGCATCCTTTGCTGACTGGTCACACCCGCCGTGTGCTCATTGTCATGATCAGGAAATAAAGGAAAAATCTGTTGTCAATTCAGTGTACGTATAAATAATGGACTAACAAAGGAATGTATAGGTAGAATCTTTTAAATTGTTCTTTTCAAGAACACTTCAACAGCAAAGCCTTGATTGGTTATATTAGCAAGGAAGCATTCTCAGGTATTGTAGATTCAAATTTGTTCAAATCATGACCCCCAGGGTTAGAGTGGGGCCACGATGTGTGATCAAAGTTTTACTTTGGAATACATAGAAAAAAATCCTTAAAAATCTTCATCTGGAGAACAGCAAAGTTGTGATTAGTTTTATTATATTCTCAATACCGAACTGTCTTATTTTTTGCTTTTCCCTAGCCAAAGCGCTATGGGGATCTATATAATCCATTGGGCTCTTGTTCAATATTTATTATTTAAAACCATTAAAAATAGATTGTATTAATTTGTGTAATTACATCAGGAAAATTACATTTAGCATTTAAGTAAAAGTGACTTAAGTAGTTGAACTAAAAGTTACAATTGAAGTGGAAAAAATGAAATAAATTGTACCGTATCTCAGTAAGATGCACAATGATTCTTTTTTTTCAGTTTTAAGTCACGCTATCTATATATTAATCTAAAATATACTTTTCAAAAAATCCTTGATATAATTCATATCAGAAGTGACATACTTCTAAACAAAATGAATAATTGTATAAGACATTCTAAATGTTTGTCTTTTTTTTAAAAGAATATGTGAAGTTTTGGATAAATTCTATCAAGACTTTTGGTAGAACAAAGGCCCCAGTGTTGATCGTAGCTACACATACAGAAGAAAAATCTGAAGGCGTAAGTACAAACACTTTATTGCATAGGGTCAACAAAATACACGCTTGAAATCATATTCAAAGTTTTATTTCTACATGTACTTAAAAATACCTGAAAATTATCATGATTATAGAGTAAGATGCATTATTTTATTCTAGGTATATTTCTTATATGAGCTTTTTATTTTGGATTCTCTTTATTATTTAAAATTCTCTGAGTTCATGACTGTATAAAAATAGAGGTATAAAGTAGTCATTGCAGACTCTAACATTAAGTAATAAGGCAATTGTGATTTTACTGTATGCTCTCTTCAGGAGAACACGCAAGTTGTCTTTCTTTATAGTAAAGGAGATTGAAGAAATCAAATACTTTGAAAATTCATGTTTAGGCAACGAAATTAATTTGGGTGTTGGACTTAATGCAGCGTAAAATTAAGGATTGGTTGGGGCCACTATCGGGTTTAAACTTTTCAATAATAAACTGATTTCTGCTCAGGTGAGCGATGTGGCCTATGGGCCTCTTGCATTTTTGTTTATCAAGTGATACTTTCAATCTGTTAAGCAATGAAAAATTTATAAACTACAAAAGTCTCAACTTTATACCCCACATAGTTTTGGGGCTATCGTAAAAATAATGTTTTGAACATGTTGACCTTTGACGAAACCTTAAAGTAGACATACCCGGTACATACATGATATCGAATAAGCATTTCTTTAATACTTAAACTTCTATTAAAGTCATACACGCTATATGAAAGCCATATTTTGTGTGAAACAAAATGATTAATGATTTGAAACACAATTAACACATGCAGTGTAATGAAAAAATAATACTTTACATAAGATTTTACTATACTCGTCGTTGTAATAACAAAACAATGAAACAATATCTGGCAATTAGGAATTTAGGCTATTTATGTATATTGATGAAGGAAGTTCGTAAACAGTAGGCCCACATATAGACATGTGTGTCCACAGAAAATCACAGACAACGAGGTATGTTGCATTTTGACAACAATTAAAAGATTAATATGCGTCATAACAAACAGAGTAGAGGGTTGATACTTATTAAATTAAAAGATAAGAATCATTGAGAGTACCATCCACGTCAAAAGTGAGTAGTATCTCAAACGGCTTACCTTTTTTTCTTCAAGCAATTTGTTTATCTATCTAAAAGTAGCGATAACGTCAAGTGATGGATTTATTGAAAAATAGCTATTTTTCTCCTAGGAGGGTTATTTAAGCATTGAATTCAATACTTATATTTACATTCTTTAATTTTTCCTCTTCATAATTGTTTATTTCTGTAATCCAGTAATCTTTAATATGAATTTAGCGCCCTTCAAAACTGGTGTGCTTTATAGACGTAAGATCCGTTTGTGACGTCGTAAAGTTAAACAACGCAAACGAAACATTGCGAGGAAAAAAATGACAAATTAATATTAATTGCTCATTTGTTGTATTTTTACGTTAATTAACGAGGATTATTTTTTTATTTAAATTGTGTAGAAAAATTTACTTTTTGGTGTTCATAAAGTATTGAAAATGCATATACATATAGTTCCTACTGTGTATTCTAACGCGTGGTGACAAGGTTTCGTGTGTGTTATAGAGATTTGAACGTCATTGATTTTTAATGGATTTCATTAAGAAAATTACACTGAATGTAAATATAAATAGTTATAATTTGATAACTTTGTAATACGTTTAATTTTAATCGTGTAATTTACAGTATTTTCGTAACTCTAGTTACGAGTTATAGCGTGTATACTTTTAAACATTAGTTTCCTTTTCATTTATCCTCATAAATATCTTACTTACAGGAAATTGATGAGTTTTTTGCTAAGTTCTGGGAAGCAGTACCAGAGGAGGACAGGGATTGGTTGATAGAGTCTGTAGTCGACTCTGAGTATGATATCGGCCTTCTCAATCTTGACGAAATAGGGAAAGAAACGCTGGAGTCTATTAAAAGTTCAATCATTAAGGCAGCCACAGAAAAAATCAATAATAAAATAGATGTTCCATCGACCTGGGCACTGCTGGAACAAGTGGTAAGAGAGAAAAGGAGGAAAGTTATGTCATATGAAGAAATATGGGAAGTTAACACCAAACGCTTTCCATCTGAATTTCAACTTGAAAACAAAGCCATGCTATCTGGTTTTTTAAAGTTTTTCCACAGACACGGTTTGCTTTTATGGTTTGAAGAAGGGAATATCAATGACAATCATTTACACGAAAAAGTTGTTCTTGACATTCAGTGGTTTGCTAGCGCAGTCAACAAGCTCATTGCTGACAAAAATCATATTCATAAGGACTGTAAGAGAAGATATTATAAAGAGTGGGACTCTTTCAACAAAACCGGCAAAATAGAGGAAAAATTAGTGATGAATCTTTGGAAAGACGAATCGTCATATTTGAATCACATAACTGAAATTATGACATACATGGAGAAACTTTTAATGCTTGTTGCTTTTCATTCCAAAAATGATGCAGCAGAAACAGACAAGTCATGGTATGTACCAAGCATGAACAAACGAGTGTTTAAAGAAGACTTTTCTGAAGAAACCTGCCAATACTCATCAATATTGTGCTTTCGATTCAGTTCTTTTGCTATGTTTGTTTACTACAGAGTTGTTGCTTATTGCATGAGTGTCCTTAAATGGACTGTTTCCAGGGATGAAGAGGGTTTATGCCTTTATCAAACCGCAGCCGTTTTTGATTTTAAAAATCACACTGTTATCATTGGAGTTTCAGAAAATGACATTCAGGTTCAAGTGAAGCTTATTAAGCCGTCTGTTATACAGACAGATATATCTGCTGAGGTCGGGGAGTCAGTGGAAGTTGCGTGCAAAAATCTTGCTAAAACATTTCACGAAGACATACATTTTGTCAAAGGATACAAATGCAGACGCAATTTTTGCGATGCTGGCGACCGGTCATTCACTCCTGCCATTGAGCTAGCGAATGATAAGGGAGAAATCCAATGCCAATATTGTTCCGTTTCTGGAAAACATACAATAAATGTTGAAGAAACCTTGCGGTTCTGGAAAAAGGTAAACTAATATTACCCTTTTTTACCTCTAATGTTATCCCTTAATATGATCAAGTGACCTAAAAGGTCATCCCTTAGCAGTTTTGTTCTCTGTGTAATGAATTATTGGTGCACATAATCATAACCAAACCTAATTCAGACGATCACCAAGAAACTGAATAGTTTTTCTTTTTTTACATAAAGGCTACTAATGCAAAATTCGTGTGTGTCGAAAGTGCATTATTTATTTGAAAATCTTCTTTGCTACTAGGTTTTGTTTGTTGTTTAACAACCTTCTCGAGAATTTTTCAATCATATGGAGAATCCACCATTTGTCTTTGGGGACCTGCAAATTTTGTCCTATACTCAGCACTCGGGACAATCGAGCAGTCATCAGAGCAGATGTTCTAACCACTGCGCCACGAGGGTGATGCTGCTCCTAGGTATTAAGGTCAGACGACCCGTTCCTCAAATAAATGTTTTATATACCTTGGTAATATATCAAAAATAATTTATACATGTAGTTGTCACTCTCTTGTGATTTCTACATCGTACACAGAATGTTTTTAAATATATACGTACAGCAAAAATTGTAATGCAGTCCAATCAGTAGATTTACCCTAAGGGTTGTATAAGAAATATGACCTTGTGGTATCGTGTTCAAATTCCTGGTAAGGTACCCTATTTTTTTAAAAGAAAAATCATATGTTTTTAAAAACGTGTCGTTTGACCTTAAACAGATAAACCAAATATTTAATACATGAGCACGGACACTTCTTTCAAAATTTTAAACATTTTCAAAGTTTCAAACAGTACATGTAAAAGAATTTTACTTTCAGTAGGCACAACTTACTGTTTTAAAAGATAGACAATATTTAATTATCTTTTGGAGTGAATTCTTTATGCAGCATTGTCCTTTTTCGGACAGTACTACAGTATTTTGAAAAATACCCATCTTTAAAAAAGTACTGAAAATCTCACCTAAATAGTATTAATGGAAGCTCGATTAATTTGTAAACACCTACAATGTATGGTGGAAAGATACAGTTAAATTATCATACCATTTATTGATAAGTCCCCTTTAAAAATCGACTTTGATAAAAAGTAACGTAGGCCCCCGATTTACAGGCCTTTGAAATGTTTCCGAAAATATACCATGAAAATAAGTTGTATGAATCGTTTAACATTCTCTGAAAATTTTATTGAAAATCATCTGCATCGTTTTTGTTTAATTAGATCCCAAACATTACATTTTTGAAGTTTCATTTTCGACGTTATTTTATTGAATTATATAGGGAAAAGGTCATTTTGGTTCGTTTTTGGGCAAGAATTTTTCTTTAAAATATCAATAAATTTTAAATGATAGAGACGAAATTGTTTTCCATTTGTTAATTTAAGAGAAATTTGGTTTGACATAAATTTATTTGACAAAATTAAATTAGTCTTCGGGTTAGTTTTAAATGTAAATAATTGTTTTTATAATTTATGTTATACAAAATGTAACATTATATAGAACGACGTCATAAAATATCTGGACATCACGTTTAACTTCGTGATGATCTATCCATTATTCGGTGCAGGAAAACAAGATTCTTTTTTTTTGCTGGTCAGACTTGGTTTTTTTTTTTTTATATATGAATCGGAATTTATTTTAAAAAAATCTTTTACAATAGCTCACAAAACGCCTATTTTGGTCTTAATTTTGATATGAAGTTATTTAAATATATGTCGAAGACATATCTTCATATATACTTCTTCTCGTTTGTCGATTAGATATACCGGTATCCCAGTAAACTTGATATAAAAAGATACCACATAGTTTTACACATCAATGGTTATTTATTAATTGTAATTTACAAGGAAGAGACGGTAATCTTATAATCAAGTTTTAAAATAAAATTTATGATGACATTAACTATTCTATCGTCAACTTTATTTACTTGTGTAGCAATAATTTCTAATCTCCTGCAGACGGAGATTCGTGACCAAGATGATTCAATATTTAAGAGCATGCTCTCTGTTATTGAAATCAGGCAAGCTGTTAACTAACAAGTCGATAAAACAAAGATATACATGTAAATGGTCTCGTTTGAAGTATCATTTCACAAGTTCTAGGGTCGATAAAATGACCATTACAGCAAATACAATTTATCATAATGTTAAATGTATTAATAATATAGTGAATCTGTAGTTGAAATTCATTATTTCATTAAAACTCTTCTCTGCACCTGGGCATATCAGAGGCAAAAAGAGTTAAGTATTAAAAAGAAGGGTATTTTAACTAGGTTTTTGAACATCTGGATCATTTGGTCCAAGTGTTTATTCCTGGCCAAGGCTCAATTAATTTGTATTCTAATGAGAAGAGTTACCTTTCTTTGCAATTTACTTTTGTATTTGAAAGGTTAATAAAATATGAAAATTATTCCTAAAATATTATTGTTAAATACAAAAATTACTTTCATAGTGTTACTGATCAGGTAGACTTGTAAGTCATAGATAAATAAAAATGATACAAAAATAACTTGTCTTATGGGATCCTTATCAAAGACCAATAGAGGCCAATGTAAAATATTTCCGCATAATTTGTTGATATACTGTATGATGATAGTGATTAATGTAAACAGATTAAAACCTAATCTATTGACTGTTAATGAAGATAAATTAATTATTTTCTTGATCTTCATCACCCTCTTTTTATTGTTTTAGGGCAACAAATCTTCACCTTCATTCCGTTTTATTTTTTAAATTGTTGTATTATACTCTGGTGAAGGTTAATCTTGTTCAGTACAGTTGGGCCTCTTGTTCAGTTTACCCGATCATGATGCGGTTGTTTAATCCTTCATGGCACCTTATCCTCCCTGTGACATTTTAGAGGTCCGTGTTTGCAACAATTTGTATTTGAATATAATGTTATCTCAATATTTAAGAATTCCCACCCTTTTAAACAAAATCAAGCGTTAAATATGCTGGAGAATAAAATGTTAAAATAGAACTTCGACTTAGATTTGAATCCATGTGTCAATGAGTTCCCTGTACAAGTGTCAATTTAGTGATGAATGTATCAATGCTCACAATATCGTCTTCTTCCTGTAGATTGACAAAGGGTTGCCCACTCAAGATGATAAGGCACATGGAAGTACGAATGACGATGATAAAACTCTTCGACGAGGTTGTAAGAGGAAAAAGGGTAAAAAAGTTTATGCCTGCACAAAATTTTTATCTTTTATGATATGTTTCAAAATATATTGAATGTTTTAAAAAATGTATTAGACGGGACGTCATCCTAAATATTAACATGATGATTGAAATGGTTTTTTAAAATAATGATTTACTATAAGTATTATGTTTATGATTAAACATGCAGAAATGAAGGACTTTCTCTTTGTCCACTCTGCCTTTTTAGCTGACCTGAGCCAAAGGCTCAAGTGACTTTTCTGATCAAAATTTGTCCGTCGTCTGTCGTCGTTGTTGTAAACTTTTCACACTTTAATCTTCTCAAGAACCACTGGGCCAATTTCAACCAAACTTGCGACAAAGTCCTTTGGTAAAGGGGATTCAAGTTTATTCAAACGAAGGACCACGACCTATTCCAAGAGGAGATAATTAGGAAATAGAGAAAAATTAATGGCATTTTAAAAAATCTTCTTCTTAAGATCCACTGGGCCAGGAAAAATGAAACTCATGTGGAATCATCCTCAGGTAGTGTAGATTCCAGTTTGTTCAAATCATGACCCCCGGTGGTAAGTCAGGACCAAAATGGCCGATCGAAGTTTTACATAAGAATATATTGGAAAAATCTTTAAAAATCTTCTTTTCAAGAACCACTGGGCCAGGAAAAATGAAACTCATGTGGAGTCATCCTCAGGTAGTGTAGATTCATATTTGTTCAAATCATGAATCCCGGGGGTAGGGTTGGACCAGAATGGCCGATCGAAGTTTTACATAGGAGTATTTAGGAAAAATCTTTAAAAATCTTCTTCTCAAGACCCACTGGGCCAAGAAAGATGAAACTCATGTGGAATCATCCTCAGGTAGTGTAGATTCAAGTTTGTTCAAATCATAATCCCTGGGAGTTGGATGGGGCGAAAAGGGCTGATCGAAGTTTTACATAGGAGTATATAGGAAAAATCTTCTTCTCATGAACCACTGGACCAGGAAAAATGAAACTCATGTTGAATTATCCTCAGGTAGGTAGTGTAGATTCCAGTTTGTTCAAATCAAAGCCCCCGGGGGTAGGGCAGGGCCAAAATGGCTGATCGAAGTTTAACATAGGAATATATTGGAAAAATCTTTAAAAATTTTCTTTTCAAGAACCACTGGGCCAGGAAAGATGAAACTCATGTGCAATCATCCTCAGGTAGTGTAGATTTTAATTTGTTCATAGCATGACCCCCGGGGTTAGGGTGGGACCAAAATGGCCGATCAAAGTTTTACATAGGAGTATATAGGAAAAATCTGTAAAAATCTTTTTTCAAGAACCACTGGGCCAGGAAAGATGAAACTCATATGGAATCATCCTCAGTTAGTGTAGATTTAAGTTTGATCAAATCATGACCCCCGGTGGTAGGTCGGTTCCAAAATAGCCGATCGAAGTTTTACATAGGATTATATTGGAAAAATCTTTAAAAATCTTCTTTTCAAGAACCACTGGGCCAGGAAAAATGAAACTCATGTAAAATCATCCTCAGGTAGTGTAGATTCAAGTTTGTTCAAATCATAACCCCTGGGAGTAGGGTGGGGCCAAAATGGCCGATCGAAGTTTTACATAGGATTATATTGGAAAAATCTTTAAAAATCTTCTTCTCAAGAACCACTAGGCCAAGAAAGATGAAACTCATGTGGAATCATCCTCAGGTAGGGCGGGGCCAAAATGGCTGATCGAAGTTTTACATAGGAGTTTATAGGAAAAATCTTCTTCTCAAGAACCACTGGACCAAGAAAGATGAAACTCATGTGGAATCATCCTCAGGTAGTGTAGTTTCAAGTTTGTTCAAATCATAACTCCTTGGAGTAGGGCGGGACAAAAATGGCCGATCGAAGTTTTACATAGGAGTATATAGGGAAAATCTTCTTCTCAAGAACCACTGGACCAGGAAAATGAAACACTTGTTGAATTATCCTCTGTTAGGGAGTGTAGATCCAAGTTTGTTCAAATCATAGCCCCCAGGAGTAGGGCGGGGCCAAAATGGCTGATCGAAGTTTTACATAGGAATATATTGGAAAAAACTTTAAAAATCTATTTTTCAAGAACCACTGGGCCAGGAAAGATGAAACTCATGTGGAATCATCCTCAGGTAGTGTAAATTCAAGTTTGTTCAAATCATGACCCCTGGGGTTAGGATGGGGCCAAAGTGGCCGATCGAAGTTTTACATAGGAGTATATAGGAAAAATCTTTAAAAATCTTCTTCTCAAAAACTACTGGGTCAAGAAAGATTAAACTCATGTGGAATCATCTTCAGGTAGTGTAGATTCAAATTGGTTTTATCATGACCCCTGGGGTTAGGTTGGGGCCAAAGTGGCCGATCGAAGTTTTACATAGGAGTATATAGGAAAAATCTTTAAAAATCTTCTTCTCAAAAACCACTGGGTCAAGAAAGATTAAACTCGTGTGGAATCATCCTCAGGTAGTGTAAATTCAAGTTTGTTCAAATCATAACCCCAGGGGGTAGGGTGGGGCCAAAATGGCCGATCGAAGTTTTACATAGGAGTTTATAGGAAAAATCTTCTTCTCAAGAACCACTGGACCAGGAAAAATGAAACTCATGTGAAATTATCCTCAAGTAACTAGTGTAGTTTCCAGTTTGTTCAAATCATAACCCCCGGGGCTAGGTCGGGGCCAAAATGGCCGATCGAAGTTTTACATAGGAATATATTGGAAAAATCTTTAAAAATCTTCTTTTCAAGAACCACTGGGCCAGGAAAGATGAAACTCATGTGGAATCATCCTCAGGTAGTGTAGATTCAAGTTTGTTCAAATCATAACCCCTGGGAGAAGGATGGGGCTAAAGTGGCCGATCGAAGTTTTACATACATATAGGAGTATATAGGAAAAATCTTCTTCTCAAGAACCACTGGACCAGGAAAAATAAAACTCATGTTGAATTATCCTCAGGTAGGTAGTTCAGATTCCAGTTTGTTCAAATCATAACCCCCGGGGGTAGGGTGGGACCAAAATGGCCGATCGAAGTTTTACATAGGAAAATATATATTAAAAATTTTTCAGAATCTTCTCTTCAATAACCACTGGGCCAGGAAAGATGAAACTCAGGTGAAATCATCCTCAGGTAGTGTAGATTCAAATTTGTTCAAATCATAACCCCTGGGAGTAGGGTGGGGCCAAAATAGCCGATCAAAGTTTTACATAGGAATATATTGGAAAAAACCTTTAAAAATCTTTTTTTCTAGAACCACTGGGCCAGGAAAGATGAAACTTGTGTAGAATCATCCTCAGGTAGTGTAGATTCAAGTTTGTTCAAATTATAACCCCTGGGAGTAGTTTGGGGCCAAAATGGCCGATCGAAGTTTTACATAGGAATATATAGGAAAAATTTTCTTCTCAAGAACCACTGGACCAGGAAAAATGAAACTCATGTTGAATTATCCTGAGATAGGTAGTGCAGATGCTTGTTTGTTAAAATCATAACCCCCGGGGGTAGGTTGGGGCCAAAATTGCTGATCGAAGTTTTACATAGGAATATATAATCTTTAAAAGTCTTTCTTTCAAGAACCATTTGGCCAGGAAAGATGAAACTCGTGTGAAATTATCCTCAGGTAGTGTAAATTCAAATTTGTTCAAATCATGACCCCCGAGGGTGGGTGGGGCCAAAATGGCCGTCAAAGTTTTAAATAGGAATATATATAGGAAGTATCTTTTAAAATCTTCTTCTCAAGATCCATAGGAACAGGAAAGATGAAACTCATGTGGAGTCTTCCTCAGGTAGTGTACATTCAAATTTGTTCAAATCATGACCCCTGTGGCTAGGGCGGGGCCAAAATGACCGTCCTAAGTTTTACATAGGAATATATATGGAAAATCTTTAAAATTCTTCTTCTTAAGAACCACTGGGCCGGGAAAGATGAAACATGTAAAATTATCATCAGTTTTTGTAGATTCAATTTTATTCAAGTTATGACCCCAGGAGCAAGGATGGGGCCACAATGGCTGTTTAAGGTTTTAAACAGAATATATAGAAAAAAATCTTTAAAAATCTTCCTATCAAGAACCACTGGTCCATGAAAGATGAAACTCGTGTGAAATTATCGTCAGGTAGTGTGGATTTTAGCTTGTTCAAATCATGACCCACGAGACTAGGATGGGGCCAAAATGCCCCTCCCCCACCTCAGTTAACTTTCAATTCTGATCTGATATGACCTTGTTGTAGCCGATGTGCTCAGGTGAGCGCTGTGGCCCCTGGGCCTCTTGTTATTTTTGTTCTTTATGTTTACAATTTTAGATATTTATTTTTTTTATTTGTTTTTTTTTTGTGTAGAGAAAAACGTATTTAAAGTAGGAAATATCAGGGCAGAAATTGTAACGTTTGGAAACTCTGGCAATACATCAGTTAAACAGAACCTAGGCTCCTCAGCTAAACGAAAAAAATGAGAAGGACCACACGATAATTATTCATTCCAAGGACCTTACAAGAATGACTGATAAGGAGAGGATACAGACAGAACAAATTAGCATAAACTCAGGTGACCTATTGCTATCTGTTTTCATCCGTCGTCGTTCGTCGCGTGTTGTTCGTCGTGCGTTAACATTTGAACATTTTTAGCTTCTTCTCTGAAACCAATGAACCAATTTCAACTAAATTTGGAATATAGCATCTATGGGTGAAGGGGAACAAAACTTGTGATTTTCGTGGTCCCTGCCCTCCTGGGGCATCGGGGTGGGGTGGGGTAAAAACCACTAAAATTAGTTCAGTCTTTAAAAATCGTCTTCTTTACTCCTGGATATCAAGCAGTCAAACTGTTGGTTTGATTGTAATCAACATTGAGTTCTCTACCAAAATTGTGTCATTCATGGCCCCAGGGTCATTGGTTCTTGAGCTAGAGCGGTGCTAAACAGGTTATGTAGTGAAAATGCATTATTTCTTTGAAATTCTTCTTTTCTGCTACTGGGCACTAAATTAACTAACCAAGCGCATAGATAAATTGAAAATGAATGCCTTTTCCAAAATTTGAATTTCATGGCCCCAGGGTCAGGGGTTCTAGTGCTAGGGCGGGGCTATATAGATTATAAAGTAAAAAATGAATAATTTCTTTGAAAATTTTCTTTTTTGCTCCTTAGTATTAAATAAACTAACCAAGTACATACATGTAGTTATGTTGAATAAGGCTCTTCCAAAATTATGAATTTCATGGCCCCTGAATTGGGGGTTCTGGTGTTTTGGCGAGGCTTTCATTGATTATGTAGTGAAAATGCCTA